GTGATATGGCGGCAGTGGGATAAGAGGGTAAAGAGTAGATAGATAGACAATGGCAGAAAGAGGAGTGATAGTGCAACAGTTTTCGGCAGAACGGTTGTCGAGGCATTGACTTCACTTGTTTCTTTGATGAGTTCGTATCTTGGTACTGAGAATGGCAAAGCTCACTGATGATGCTGACTACGATGCCGGTGAAACGTTTGAGAATGTATTAAGTCTACTGTCACATGCTGGGAATCATGGCAACTATATGGCCGAAGACTTTGGACTAGGTGCGTTCTACATAATCGCCTTGACAACAAGACCAAGTTGCAACAACGAGGTCAACCCACTTCTATAAATCCTTCTTTATTTGTATTCATGACACTTTTTAAAAGAAATTTAAGTTATAATAATGCAAATTTATTGAGAGATCCTTCGACGCCTAGTTTCTTTTATTTTCGAAAAAGGCCCATCTATCGGAGATTCTTTTGTTTTACAGTCAGCCTAGCAAGATTTGTAACTCTTCAGCATAAATTCTCCTCTAATCGCTTACAAAAAACTGCTTTTATTTTCTAGTTCAACCAGGTACCGTTATCACTTAACCTGCAACTCCTGTCAAGACGATATTGGACGTCACCATAAAGGTCATTCCACCAGAGTAAATGTATTTCCCAAAATGGTCGCTATAGCAATATAATGAAAACTAAACGATCCGCCAGAATTACAACTCTTGTACAAAATGACACCTTATCTCCTTCCAACAATGGTGATGGTGCCATGAATTCTGTGAAGAGTTTTGTCATTTCATACATTTACATGCTGTCATCTTCTTCATGTCCCTTCCTCTATCGACCCAGTCTATTTGCTGAAGGCTCTTGCATCCTTGAAACTGTTACGCATGCAACTTAAACCGAGAAGTAGATTTTCGAGACTACCAATACATCTCATATAAACCGAGTAAATTTGCAAGAACAGGGATGAATATATGAGCCTCACTATTCCTTAGTAGAATGCCATTTATGAGGAAAGCTGCAATACTTTTTGCCCAAGAAAGTAGTGTATACAGCCTACTCGGATCTTGCATAAAAGGTGGAGTAAATTTCTGCTTTGTGCAAGGGTTTTTCGTTGTGTCTGTAAAATTTTGCGATTTTTCCCAACTAGGATCTTGATTGCTGCATAGGCTCACCAATTTCAGCAGTTTTTTCATCCGTACAGAGTGAGGTGAAAGTTAATCTTGATTATTGCTGCAGCTTTCTCGTCGCCATGCATTGCAAAGGATAGATCTCAGTTAATGTGGGCAGCAGGTTCAGCATTGCCTATTTGCCTCACCAGCATATCTGGAGGGACTCGAAATACAGACTTGATGTTCAAGAGGTAATTATGCCCTCTTTTCTGTATAACACGTCTCTGGTGAAGAGACTGAGTTGCAGTTTGAAATGAAATATTTTCTTGTCTGAGTTTTAAAGTACGATGCATTGCAAAAATCAAACAAGTCGTCGTGAAAAGATCCTCTATCTTCTTTTTCATCGGGTAATTCCTTCGACATCAAACGCAACGAATCTTGATTTAGTCATCAAACTGAGAGCAGTGAAACTGACATCAGACAATCCTGGTCTCCTATTTCACCAACAAGCCCACATCAACGAGGCCTTGAACGCCATGAAAAACATGCCTATCCCATTTCTAAATGGTTCTGGAGTTGTCATGATTCGTGTCAGCGTCTTCATCTCCAGACAGGATTGTCTAGAGTTCGAAACCCGCCGGGAATGCCGAGGGTCGCTAGTTAAATAGTGACTGGACTTTGTGAATGTAGGTAGGTCAGAACACACAAGGGAAAAGTTAAGGTATTACTTCATTTCCTCGTGGGGATTGTGGATATCAGCTTCTTTGTTTAGGAGAGTCGATATGACACTTACTTCTAGCTTTTGAGAAGCTTGTCTGCTTACCATCCCAAACACTAAGGCATT